TATTTGTTCAGTTTAAACTTATTTATGCTAAATTTAACACTTAAACAATCTCTGTAACTATAATTTTTAAATAAACATCTAAAATTATAGCCTTCTGGATTTTTACATGACTCTTTCAAACATTTATAAATAACAAAAAATAACTTGAAATTCCTTTAATATATAAAAAATCCACTTTGTTGGAACTCACTTTAAATATCAATTTCTCCAAGCTCTTTCAGGTAATCAAGTCAATTACCATAATTTTAAAGTCAAAGTCAAATAGATTTTTGTTATAATTTAAACAAATTTGCTGCAAATTCTTACTTAAGTATTAAATTAGTTCAATGGTTTCAGTCTACACAGTAGTATAAAGAGAAATTATAAAATTTCAAGAAGCGTCATTTAGGAACAAGAATAAGAACTATATTTGCATTGCCTCATGATCAAAATGGACCTTGCATGAATAAAAATCAACAAATTTATATTTTCATAAATCGTATTGTCCTAAGGATTATTTATGTATTTAAACAATAATGACCATACAAAAGTTTTGGGTCAATTTAAATCTTAAATCCTTTTTTAAAATCCAGCCAAAGACAGATAGTAGACAACTTGAAGGTAAAATACAATTCTTTATTAAAATTTTGTATTCTGTATACATTTTTAATGTCATATATTCCATCATTTTAATAGGAATTGTATTTTATCTTCAAGTTGTCTACCATTTGTATCTAGCTGGATTTTAAAAAAGAATTTAAGATTTAAATTGAACCAAAATTTTTGTATAATCATTACGGTTTAAATATTTATATTTTCAATATATATACAAAAACAGTTAATATTTATGTTAATGTGGAAAAAAAAAGATTTGGATGAAATATGCAAGGTAAAACAGTATATCAATTAATATGATAAATTTGAAAATTTTGCACCAATATGTATGTAGGAATTCTACAGGAAATGGAAAAATATAATTAGAAACTCAATAGTAACATACAGAAAAGAATAGTCATAAATATGAAACATGTAAAACTTTTACACAAAATCCATTTGAAATGGATTATGACAAATGTTGTGACAGTTTGGAGACATTAATATTGTTACAATTTATTAATATGAAAAGATTATTCCAATGACAAAAATTATTTACAAGCATGTAAACATTATATATAACAAGATATTAATCATCAATTAATAAATTTACATCACTATTAGAAATGAACCAATTAAACAAATCAAATTAGTGAATTGAAACAAATTTGCATATGACAGATGATGCTGTAAATATATTACTATATAACCAGCAAACTTTGTTAGGATATATATATATATACACACACACAACAAACACAATTTCATTTACAATTAAAACAACACAATAAACATTTAATTAATGAATTCATGACTTTTCTTTAAATAGATAAAAATCAAATTAATTTATATATCAGATCAGAATAATAATAATTATATATATAAGTACAACAAAAACTAAATTTATTAAACATAACTATGTATTTCTAAAAATATGCTATGTTAGATGGATATAAATGATTCTTAAATTGTAAATTAAATGAACTATCAGAATGAATATATTTAATGAGAACTAAATATATTCATCTTATTGAATTAATCTTATCAGAAATATAAATAATTATTATCCAAATCAAGTTAAAAGCTTATTTTTATTGTGGCGTAGTAAACACTAGTATTGTGTTTTTTTCCAAAGACACGTGGCAAATTTTCCATCAAATTGTTTTGTACTTGTTTTGGGCTTTGCCCCTCTTCAGTCAACTAAACTATAATATATATTTTTAAACATATTACAGTAGAGAATTTACATAAAACAATGAGTACATAAATGATATATAGATGTACCTTTTGGTTACACTTTCTATAATTTAAAAATATGCAACATCTGCTTTAATCTTTTGTAAATAAACTAGTATACAGTAGATTTTTACAGTTGTATTGTATCAAAATCTACCTAAAAGGGAAGATTCTGGAAGATTTTAACCTTTTAATTTGTAATATACTAGTTTATTTACAAAAGATTAAAGCTGATTTTACATGTTTTTAAATTATACAAAGTGTAACCAAAAGGTACATCTATATATCGTTTATGTACTCATTGTTTTATGTAAATTCTCTACTGTAATAAGTTAAAAAATATATATTATATTTTAGTTGACTGAAGAGGGGCAAAGCCCAAAATGAGTACAAAACAATGTACCATATCGACTCAACTAATAAAGGAATTTGATGGAAAATTTGCCACATGTCTTTGGAATAAAACACAATACTAGTGTTTACTATGCCACAATTATAAAACAGGACAAGGTTTCAAAAAACAAATCAGCATCTTTTTAACCAAGCACTTTATAATTAAAATTCAAAAATTTATAAACAAGTAAATTTTACAATATTTTAAGTAAAAAAAATAATTAAGTTTTTTTTAAATTTGAACATTTTCATCAATTTTTTGTATTTAACAGTAACCCAAGAGTATTTTTATAGAATCTCAACAAAGTTGTTCAGTAAACAATTGGATATTATCCAAATAAACAATTGGATATTATCCAATTGTTTACTTGGATAATTGAACTATAATACCATTAACAGGAGACAAAAGATTTTATAAAACCTCTTCTATGTAAAATGAATTAATAATTTTTTATTTCCTTATAAACTTGTATTACTTTTTATATCTTCATGTTTAAATATTGACTAACTATAGAATTATAGTATATTTTTTGTAAATACAATTGTTTTAAATAAATTTTTGACATAAATAAAAACATTTCAAATGTGATAAATATCAAGCATCACCATCTAATTTAAGAAACTGATTCAAAAATAAAGTTATTTATAAATTTATATCTACACTTAAATATATTTTACTAAGATAAAAAATTTAATGATATTCTAGCAAAAAAAACAAATCATTATACTGGTATACAAAATTTGAAAACACTCTTCAAAGGAGAAATTGTGAGGGTTAACAATTTTGCTAGATAAGATACAATCTGGACTTTAGCTTTTAACTTATCTTAAATCAATTTCACACACAATGATTACAAAATTGAATGAGCAATTAGCATCATAACTATTGATATTAGGCTATTGATTCTTTAAATCTGATAGCAAACACTGCATTACTAATCAAATCACTGATCAACCAACCCTAACAATTCTTATTCAAGAGTATATAAAGTTGTTACATCTATTTCATGTCTTTAAATATTCACACATCATTTTTTATTCATGACTATAGATTATTTGTTTGAATTAGTAAATACATATTTTTTCAATCTTTCTAAAAACCAGGTATTGTTTTGACAAATATATTTATTGAGTGAATCAAATAAAAAAATAATTCAGACAATATTAAGTCATATCTTGTCTAACAAGAGTCACTGACCACTTAATTAAGCAATGTAAATGACTTTTTGATGTTTAATTTCCTTCTCTTCTTTCAAATTAACATCTGTTGGTTATTAAAATTAATAAATTTGGTTAACTAATATATCAAATAGTTTATCAGTTTTAAAATTTTGGTCATTAGTTGCAATAAAATCTGACACATTCAAATGTAACTTAATTATCTTTAATCCAAATACATTAAACAAGTTAAACTCTATCAAAAAGCTTATATTCAAAAAAATGTATATATCACCAATTTAAATTATTAAATAGATACAAATTACAAGCTGTATCAAGCAGATTTTATAGTTATTAATGCTAACGAATCACAAATATTTCAAACAAACTTTATTACAAAATAACCATTATTGTAAATTATTTATTGAATTTAATGGCATGATCTGAATGAGATAGTCCACTTTCTGTAAGTACTAAAACAATAGCATACCTAACAAGGTTACTGTATTCAGAGGTTATTCAGTGAACTTCATAGATACTAAACATTAAAATGAGACCGACAGTATTGATTTTTCCATAAAATAATGATATAACTGTCTTGTGCAGTCTAGACACACACTACTTTTAGACATAAATTTTAAAATTCTGATGTAATATTCATTCAATTCTGTTGATGAGATCATATTTTATATCAGGAATGGTATTGCATACAATATATAATTTAAAAGAAATCAATTTATGAACAGAATGATGTAACTTGAAATTAGTGTTTGTCAGGAAAATTATTTCTTTTTTAGTTCTGAAAAACATCATGCAAAAGTTAATATAAATTCATTTTTAATGCTAATAAACTTATGTTATTTTTAAAAATTACTTAAGGATTTTGTCACAAAAAAAAACATTAAAATAGTCCTTGTAAATTTCTAAGAATTAACAAGCCTAGAATTATTTATAATGAAATTAATTATTAACAATTACACCATAACACTGATTGTAAAACTTTTATTTACAATTTGGAAAAAAAAATTATATCAATTCACTATACATTGAAATTCTAAAATCAAAAACTTAGGATAACATTCATTTATTTTTTTTATCTGTAAATCACATAATTGTTGACAAAAATCTATCTATAAAACCACAAACTCAGTCATCCAGTTCATGTATACTTGTACAAGCATTCATAGCAAATTTGTACTTCATGTAGAGCATAACTTATATTTTATAAGAAATAAAAGTTTAAAAAATTAATAATTTACTATTTAATAATTGTAAGTGAGCGTTTCATCTGAATTCAGTTTCATAAATATGTAAGGTATTAAAAAATTGCCTTTTCAAAATGCCGGTCGTACATCTTATACATATTCCATACAGTTCTCGTAATCACTGCAAAATTAGCCTTAAATCAATTTGTATATTAAATTTTTATTACATTTAGTTGCCATTCAAATTTAATATCTTATTAAAATAATAAAAATGGAAAAAGCTTTAAAACTTCATTATATTTTAATACTATTTTCATAAAATTACTATGAAAACATTATGTATATCTTAGACATAAAAATTAAAATACTGTACAGTACATTAATAGAATCATGTCAATTTTAGATAATTCTTCAAATTTGTAACAATTTATAAAACAGTCGATAAATTGGTTCCATCATTTAGTAAACACACGTTATATCAACAAACATTCATAAAAGCTTCAAAATATTCTTCTGTTTACCATTTGGATTCCGCTGTCATCAATCAACAGTTCTCATACTAGCTGTGTAATTTTCTCGCTGCAAGTTTTTGTCTGTCCAAATTAATAGTACGGTGGAAAAAGGCATTCGATAGATAGACGACGGGAGAAAACAACCTAAGTCTATATTCACACGTTCCAGTCATGGGAACGGCTTCATTTCCGCTAATGATAAAGAGCGGGAAAAATATGGCAAAGATGATCCCGCTGGTAATGAAAGAGGAGGACAACGACGTCAGGACGGCGAGTGGCAGGCCAAAACCTATAAAGTAAGGCCAATTCATCTCAATAAATGCCAACCTCCTATGCAATTCCCATCCCATGTTGATCCACTTATACTCGAAGGCATAAAATGAATACAACATACACAGATGCACTATTCCGGCTACCTGGCCCAGAATGTATACCGGTAATAGTCTCACCAGATAGCTCTGCATCAGAAATAAAACCTGAATCAAGAAACTGAACAGATTGTCAGCCCACGTCTTGCTAAATCCTCCCACGTACTGGGGGCGGCCGCGAATGTGCCTGTAAGCAGTGTTGGCAATGTCTTGGAACCACAGGCTATTGATGATGCGACTCAGCAGGAATAGAGGTAGCACCCAAAGTGCATCAAACACACAAGACAGAATTGGTCTCAACCAACTCCACACAAAAGCAGCCATACTGGGGCTGTGACTAAACACAAAATTCATAAGTTTATGAAGACCAGGTAATACTAAGTAAGAGAAAATTGCGATACTTGCCCAAAATATCCCACCATTGAGCAAACAACACTGGAATATTCTTATAGAAATTTTTGTCTCTTCACTTTTGATTTCAGGGATTCGATTCGATTCTTGTTTTCTCCTCCTTGACAATGTTGTTGTTACTAATTGGTTAACGGGCTTTGTTTCTTTCTCTTTATTCATGTCTCGAATCGATAATATACCCCATATAGAGTCTTTGGCTCCCGTTACAATCCCCATAAACACTCTCATTAAATTATCCATTCTCTATGACTTATGAGGGCATCCCTTACTTCTTAGCACAACCTCTTCCTCCGAGTCTTTTCTCTCGAACAAAACGCCACCTATAATTCCAATTATTTAAACCGAATCATTTTCACGCCCTCTATATTGTTCATAAAATTATTATCTATCGATAAAACACCAGTTAAATACTCGTTAACTTTTAATTCGAATTTTTTAATTTACTGTATAAATAATTTAATTCTACAAATCGTAAATAAATCGGAGAAAACGTCCTCGAAACAAAGAACTTATGACGTAATACTGAAAATTTTTCGTCATAACGACGGTTAAAAGTTTTTTTTAGTATTTAATGTTAATTAACTGAAACAGACTAAAAATATACTATTTTAATAATTTAGTTGATAATTTAAATTTATTATACATCAAAGAGTTAAAAAATAAAATAATTTCATTTTCTAGCCAGCATATTACGTCACACATTTAAATTTTTAACGGTTATTATGCTTTACGTGGTATAAATATTAATTAAGTTTTCTTAAAGAAAAAATATTTGTATTTATTAATTAATCATTGCTATAATTAACTTTTGTAACAAATTTTGAAATGTGTTCATTATTATTGTGTTTAACACAATAATAATGAAATAACTTTATAATTTCGTAAGAGGAAATGGTTCTTTTAAGTGGGGAAAAAATAATTTTTTGTCCTCATTATTAAAATTATATATGATTTAATAGAATTGTATCCTTCTTTTACTTTTATTGATATTTTATGGATATTTCTCATACGTTAAACCATTTGCTGAATAATTTTGGCAACAATAGGTTATAGAGATGGCACTTAAGGCGGCGGCATATTTCTTTGCGGGACTCGGAACCGAATTCTGGCAAATCTCAGAGCTTTTTATGAGTTCGTGGATATTGTACGGGTTTGATATAAAGGTCGCCTTAGTACCCATAGGACAGAAAGAGTTAAAATTAAAAGTGCACGTGATAGCTATTTTCAGGTCTCTTAACTTTTCATTATAGTAATTACCAAAAGCGAACTGTAGTATATTGTTATAGCTGGACTTTCAGGAAAGGAAGGAAAATTATATTGGTTTCATGTTCGGTCTATTGTCCATTGAATTTACACTGTACCGGTACATTGTATGAGAAAATTCATCCAACACGAAAGCTTGGAAAGTCGATTATTTATATCGGTAGTGAGTAGAAGTTGAAAGAATGAGATCGATCTAACCGGTACCTTGCTGATCTGAAGATTCACAGGCAGTCTCATTTTCTTTAAATAAGAATCCCGAAGGGAAAATCAATTCAATTGAAGTTCTGGTAGCACTCGTCAAAAATCTAGGCAGTCATTGTCAGGATTCTATTTCTGATCTCCCTGAATAGTAAACCGAAGCTAAGACGCAGTTCTCTGAATCTGTGATCGAAATGTTTTGTAATCGGAAGTCTCAGTTCGGTTCTATGTATATTGCATGGTCACTCTATACGAGTCTTTAGAAAAGAGAAGCAGTGGCGCATTATAGCTTCATGGGCCGAAGCGAATTTAAATTAGCAAGCCCCATGTATAATGTTCACTTCAGACATTTTACTTCGAAGAAAGTTTTGGGGAAATGATTGGTTTTGTGCCTCCTGCTGGTAGGAATCTCAGACAATTGCATTTTTTCCCATAGAATAACGCGATACTGAAGCGATTTATTGTGAGTTCAATGTTTGAACTGATTCTATATTTAAACCTCACCATGGAAGGAAATGAGATAAATAGATACAATCTTGAATACTGTAATTAGGGCTGTGCCGAACAGTTTTGGTGCCCAAATTAAACCTCATAACTGACGCTTCTGATTCACCATTAATTACAAAAACTTCTACGGGCTTATTTGGTGCTTCCGTGGCTCCCGGGGTACATGCTTACCTTTGCTACCCTCTGTTACGCTACTGACTGCAATTATGATATGCATCGAAGCTGGCGATATGATAAGAAAATTATAAAATTTAGATTTATAAAATTGTGAAAAGTATATTAATTAATCATTTCCAAAATAAAATCTAAAAAAATTTCAGTGTATTTTTTCTATTCTAGATTCTCTGGCTTATGGCACTTAAGAAAGCCTTTTTAATCATACTTCGTCGCCCTGGCCGAACCATCATTACCCGCCTTCTTGTAGTTGGTAGAATCCATTACGAACCTTTTTAAAAAATATTTTCGTTCTGTGTACTGTACACTAAGAGAAATGTTTTTAACAAACCCATTATGAGTTCAGCCAAGCCCACGATGGAGAAGCCGGATGGTGAGGAACGGGGCTTAACATATCCTGACAGACCATTCCCCGAAAAATTCCTGATGTTTTTCGACATGTCTGGATTTAAAGCCGGGTCCTCAAGCGTAGGCCGCCGTCTAAAACATACTGCCATTTGGTCGTTTTCCGTAATGGAGTAAAAACAATAAAAATAAAAAAGTTGAATTCTAATGTTCATGTATAAATTGAAAAATGTGAACAAAATTATAAAAAATATAATAATTAATAAATTTAATACCAAATTTTTACATTAATAAAATTATTGAATAGAACTAAAAAATAGATAAAATTTGACACTAGAGGTGTACGTGTCATCTTTTTCAGTTTATTAGAAGCAGCCATTTTGCGGTGATTTGGAAAAGGTAATTTCTTATAATATTTCTTATAAATAATGGAATTATCCGTGTTAAAAAAATTAAAAAATTTAGAAAATTAATTATTTAGAAAATTAAATATTATTTGATACAATAATAATAAATTAGATTATGAATTTGTAATGCCTTTTACTAGATGAAACTTTTAGGCCTAAATGTATATCCACGTGTTATTTTGTCGCGTGTGGAAATTAGTGTATGATGATCGAATGAGGAAATATCTAATTGATGCCGTATTGTAATGTTCGAAGTGCTAAGAAATACACTTAATTTTAATAAATTCATTAGCAAAATTATTTTTAATACAAATTCCTTTTCCACAGAAGTGAATATACCCATTGTTAGTGTTTCTTACTAATAAGTAGAAATAAATTTAAAATTATCATAAATTAATATGGAAAATACAACAGGTGAGGAAACAACTGTAAACTTTTAGTTTGTGAATGACTTAAAATGAAAATACAAAAACTTCACTAAATATTTGTGTACTATTAATATGTTACATAGAATTTATCAAAATTGGCTGACTTGCTATATCTTTTTATTTGTTTAATATACACTGGTGTGCAAAACTTAAGCAATGATATAATTTTTAAGCACACAGCTATGAAATTGTAGGACTTGTTGCGATCGGTACAATGAACACCCAATTTGATAGAAAGATGATTCATGTGCAAATATCAGGAATAAGATCATGGGTGATGTGAGTGAATGCAAAACATTGCAGTTGGTGTGTGCAGTGCAAGACTACAATAAAAAGAATGATGAAAGGCACTATTAAAGACATTTGCTACAAGTTTAAATGAGTTTATACAAGCAATATGGCTAGAAGAAACCATCTAGGTCAGGNTTTATAATTAAAATTCAAAAATTTATAAACAAGTAAATTTTACAATATTTTAAGTAAAAAAAATAATTAAGTTTTTTTTAAATTTGAACATTTTCATCAATTTTTTGTATTTAACAGTAACCCAAGAGTATTTTTATAGAATCTCAACAAAGTTGTTCAGTAAACAATTGGATATTATCCAAATAAACAATTGGATATTATCCAATTGTTTACTTGGATAATTGAACTATAATACCATTAACAGGAGACAAAAGATTTTATAAAACCTCTTCTATGTAAAATGAATTAATAATTTTTTATTTCCTTATAAACTTGTATTACTTTTTATATCTTCATGTTTAAATATTGACTAACTATAGAATTATAGTATATTTTTTGTAAATACAATTGTTTTAAATAAATTTTTGACATAAATAAAAACATTTCAAATGTGATAAATATCAAGCATCACCATCTAATTTAAGAAACTGATTCAAAAATAAAGTTATTTATAAATTTATATCTACACTTAAATATATTTTACTAAGATAAAAAATTTAATGATATTCTAGCAAAAAAAACAAATCATTATACTGGTATACAAAATTTGAAAACACTCTTCAAAGGAGAAATTGTGAGGGTTAACAATTTTGCTAGATAAGATACAATCTGGACTTTAGCTTTTAACTTATCTTAAATCAATTTCACACACAATGATTACAAAATTGAATGAGCAATTAGCATCATAACTATTGATATTAGGCTATTGATTCTTTAAATCTGATAGCAAACACTGCATTACTAATCAAATCACTGATCAACCAACCCTAACAATTCTTATTCAAGAGTATATAAAGTTGTTACATCTATTTCATGTCTTTAAATATTCACACATCATTTTTTATTCATGACTATAGATTATTTGTTTGAATTAGTAAATACATATTTTTTCAATCTTTCTAAAAACCAGGTATTGTTTTGACAAATATATTTATTGAGTGAATCAAATAAAAAAATAATTCAGACAATATTAAGTCATATCTTGTCTAACAAGAGTCACTGACCACTTAATTAAGCAATGTAAATGACTTTTTGATGTTTAATTTCCTTCTCTTCTTTCAAATTAACATCTGTTGGTTATTAAAATTAATAAATTTGGTTAACTAATATATCAAATAGTTTATCAGTTTTAAAATTTTGGTCATTAGTTGCAATAAAATCTGACACATTCAAATGTAACTTAATTATCTTTAATCCAAATACATTAAACAAGTTAAACTCTATCAAAAAGCTTATATTCAAAAAAATGTATATATCACCAATTTAAATTATTAAATAGATACAAATTACAAGCTGTATCAAGCAGATTTTATAGTTATTAATGCTAACGAATCACAAATATTTCAAACAAACTTTATTACAAAATAACCATTATTGTAAATTATTTATTGAATTTAATGGCATGATCTGAATGAGATAGTCCACTTTCTGTAAGTACTAAAACAATAGCATACCTAACAAGGTTACTGTATTCAGAGGTTATTCAGTGAACTTCATAGATACTAAACATTAAAATGAGACCGACAGTATTGATTTTTCCATAAAATAATGATATAACTGTCTTGTGCAGTCTAGACACACACTACTTTTAGACATAAATTTTAAAATTCTGATGTAATATTCATTCAATTCTGTTGATGAGATCATATTTTATATCAGGAATGGTATTGCATACAATATATAATTTAAAAGAAATCAATTTATGAACAGAATGATGTAACTTGAAATTAGTGTTTGTCAGGAAAATTATTTCTTTTTTAGTTCTGAAAAACATCATGCAAAAGTTAATATAAATTCATTTTTAATGCTAATAAACTTATGTTATTTTTAAAAATTACTTAAGGATTTTGTCACAAAAAAAAACATTAAAATAGTCCTTGTAAATTTCTAAGAATTAACAAGCCTAGAATTATTTATAATGAAATTAATTATTAACAATTACACCATAACACTGATTGTAAAACTTTTATTTACAATTTGGAAAAAAAAATTATATCAATTCACTATACATTGAAATTCTAAAATCAAAAACTTAGGATAACATTCATTTATTTTTTTTATCTGTAAATCACATAATTGTTGACAAAAATCTATCTATAAAACCACAAACTCAGTCATCCAGTTCATGTATACTTGTACAAGCATTCATAGCAAATTTGTACTTCATGTAGAGCATAACTTATATTTTATAAGAAATAAAAGTTTAAAAAATTAATAATTTACTATTTAATAATTGTAAGTGAGCGTTTCATCTGAATTCAGTTTCATAAATATGTAAGGTATTAAAAAATTGCCTTTTCAAAATGCCGGTCGTACATCTTATACATATTCCATACAGTTCTCGTAATCACTGCAAAATTAGCCTTAAATCAATTTGTATATTAAATTTTTATTACATTTAGTTGCCATTCAAATTTAATATCTTATTAAAATAATAAAAATGGAAAAAGCTTTAAAACTTCATTATATTTTAATACTATTTTCATAAAATTACTATGAAAACATTATGTATATCTTAGACATAAAAATTAAAATACTGTACAGTACATTAATAGAATCATGTCAATTTTAGATAATTCTTCAAATTTGTAACAATTTATAAAACAGTCGATAAATTGGTTCCATCATTTAGTAAACACACGTTATATCAACAAACATTCATAAAAGCTTCAAAATATTCTTCTGTTTACCATTTGGATTCCGCTGTCATCAATCAACAGTTCTCATACTAGCTGTGTAATTTTCTCGCTGCAAGTTTTTGTCTGTCCAAATTAATAGTACGGTGGAAAAAGGCATTCGATAGATAGACGACGGGAGAAAACAACCTAAGTCTATATTCACACGTTCCAGTCATGGGAACGGCTTCATTTCCGCTAATGATAAAGAGCGGGAAAAATATGGCAAAGATGATCCCGCTGGTAATGAAAGAGGAGGACAACGACGTCAGGACGGCGAGTGGCAGGCCAAAACCTATAAAGTAAGGCCAATTCATCTCAATAAATGCCAACCTCCTATGCAGTTCCCATCCCATGTTGATCCACTTATACTCGAAGGCATAAAATGAATACAACATACACAGATGCACTATTCCGGCTACCTGGCCCAGAATGTATACCGGTAATAGTCTCACCAGATAGCTCTGCATCAGAAATAAAACCTGAATCAAGAAACTGAACAGATTGTCAGCCCACGTCTTGCTAAATCCTCCCACGTACTGGGGGCGGCCGCGAATGTGCCTGTAAGCAGTGTTGGCAATGTCTTGGAACCACAGGCTATTGATGATGCGACTCAGCAGGAATAGAGGTAGCACCCAAAGTGCATCAAACACACAAGACAGAATTGGTCTCAACCAACTCCACACAAAAGCAGCCATACTGGGGCTGTGACTAAACACAAAATTCATAAGTTTATGAAGACCAGGTAATACTAAGTAAGAGAAAATTGCGATACTTGCCCAAAATATCCCACCATTGAGCAAACAACACTGGAATATTCTTATAGAAATTTTTGTCTCTTCACTTTTGATTTCAGGGATTCGATTCGATTCTTGTTTTCTCCTCCTTGACAATGTTGTTGTTACTAATTGGTTAACGGGCTTTGTTTCTTTCTCTTTATTCATGTCTCGAATCGATAATATACCCCATATAGAGTCTTTAGCTCCCGTTACAATCCCCATAAACACTCTCATTAAATTATCCATTCTCTATGACTTATGAGGGCATCCCTTACTTCTTAGCACAACCTCTTCCTCCGAGTCTTTTCTCTCGAACAAAACGCCACCTATAATTCCAATTATTTAAACCGAATCATTTTCACGCCCTCTATATTGTTCATAAAATTATTATCTATCGATAAAACACCAGTTAAATACTCGTTAACTTTTAATTCGAATTTTTTAATTTACTGTATAAATAATTTAATTCTACAAATCGTAAATAAATCGGAGAAAACGTCCTCGAAACAAAGAACTTATGACGTAATACTGAAAATTTTTCGTCATAACGACGGTTAAAAGTTTTTTTTAGTATTTAATGTTAATTAACTGAAACAGACTAAAAATATACTATTTTAATAATTTAGTTGATAATTTAAATTTATTATACATCAAAGAGTTAAAAAATAAAATAATTTCATTTTCTAGCCAGCATATTACGTCACACATTTAAATTTTTAACGGTTATTATGCTTTACGTGGTATAAATATTAATTAAGTTTTCTTAAAGAAAAAATATTTGTATTTATTAATTAATCATTGCTATAATTAACTTTTGTAACAAATTTTGAAATGTGTTCATTATTATTGTGTTTAACACAATAATAATGAAATAACTTTATAATTTCGTAAGAGGAAATGGTTCTTTTAAGTGGGGAAAAAATAATTTTTTGTCCTCATTATTAAAATTATATATGATTTAATAGAATTGTATCTTTCTTTTACTTTTATTGATATTTTATGGATATTTCTCATACGTTAAACCATTTGCTGAATAATTTTGGCAACAATAGGTTATAGAGATGGCACTTAAGGCGGCGGCATATTTCTTTGCGGGACTCGGAACCGAATTCTGGCAAATCTCAGAGCTTTTTATGAGTTCGTGGATATTGTACGGGTTTGATATAAAGGTCGCCTTAGTACCCATAGGACAGAAAGAGTTAAAATTAAAAGTGCACGTGATAGCTATTTTCAGGTCTCTTAACTTTTCATTATAGTAATTACCAAAAGCGAACTGTAGTATATTGTTATAGCTGGACTTTCAGGAAAGGAAGGAAAATTATATTGGTTTCATGTTCGGTCTATTGTCCATTGAATTTACACTGTACCGGTACATTGTATGAGAAAATTCATCCAACACGAAAGCTTGGAAAGTCGATTATTTATATCGGTAGTGAGTAGAAGTTGAAAGAATGAGATCGATCTAACCGGTACCTTGCTGATCTGAAGATTCACAGGCAGTCTCATTTTCTTTAAATAAGAATCCCGAAGGGAAAATCAATTCAATTGAAGTTCTGGTAGCACTCGTCAAAAATCTAGGCAGTCATTGTCAGGATTCTATTTCTGATCTCCCTGAATAGTAAACCGAAGCTAAGACGCAGTTCTCTGAATCTGTGATCGAAATGTTTTGTAATCGGAAGTCTCAGTTCGGTTCTATGTATATTGCATGGTCACTCTATACGAGTCTTTAGAAAAGAGAAGCAGTGGCGCATTATAGCTTCATGGGCCGAAGCGAATTTAAATTAGCAAGCCCCATGTATAATGTTCACTTCAGACATTTTACTTCGAAGAAAGTTTTGGGGAAATGATTGGTTTTGTGCCTCCTGCTGGTGGGAATCTCAGACAATTGCATTTTTTCCCATAGAATAACGCGATACTGAAGCGATTTATTGTGAGTTCAATGTTTGAACTGATTCTATATTTAAACCTCACCATGGAAGGAAATGAGATAAATAGATACAATCTTGAATACTGTAATTAGGGCTGTGCCGAACAGTTTTGGTGCCCAAATTAAACCTCATAACTGACGCTTCTGATTCACCATTAATTACAAAAACTTCTACGGGCTTATTTGGTGCTTCCGTGGCTCCCGGGGTACATGCTTACCTTTGCTACCCTCTGTTACGCTACTGACTGCAATTATGATATGCATCGAAGCTGGCGATATGATAAGAAAATTATAAAATTTAGATTTATAAAATTGTGAAAAGTATATTAATTAATCATTTCCAAAATAAAATCTAAAAAAATTTCAGTGTATTTTTTCTATTCTAGATTCTCTGGCTTATGGCACTTAAGAAAGCCTTTTTAATCATACTTCGTCGCCCTGGCCGAACCATCATTACCCGCCTTCTTGTAGTTGGTAGAATCCATTACGAACCTTTTTAAAAAATATTTTCGTTCTGTGTACTGTACACTAAGAGAAATGTTTTTAACAAACCCATTATGAGTTCAGCCAAGCCCACGATGGAGAAGCCGGATGGTGAGGAACGGGGCTTAACATATCCTGACAGACCATTCCCCGAAAAATTCCTGATGTTTTTCGACATGTCTGGATTTAAAGCCGGGTCCTCAAGCGTAGGCCGCCGTCTAAAACATACTGCCATTTGGTCGTTTTCCGTAATGGAGTAAAAACAATAAAAATAAAAAAGTTGAATTCTAATGTTCATGTATAAATTGAAAAATGTGAACAAAATTATAAAAAATATAATAATTAATAAATTTAATACCAAATTTTTACATTAATAAAATTATTGAATAGAACTAAAAAATAGATAAAATTTGACACTAGAGGTGTACGTGTCGTCTTTTTCAGTTTATTAGAAGCAGCCATTTTGCGGTGATTTGGAAAAGGTAATTTCTTATAATATTTCTTATAAATAATGGAATTATCCGTGTTAAAAAAATTAAAAAATTTAGAAAATTAATTATTTAGAAAATTAAATATTATTTGATACAATAATAATAAATTAGATTATGAATTTGTAATGCCTTTTACTAGATGAAACTTTTAGGCCTAAATGTATATCCACGTGTTATTTTGTCGCGTGTGGAAATTAGTGTATGATAATCGAATGAGGAAATATCTAATTGATGCCGTATTGTAATGTTCGAAGTGCTAAGAAATACACTTAATTTTAATAAATTCATTAGCAAAATTATTTTTAATACAAATTCTTTTCCCACAGAAGTGAATATACCCATTGTTAGTGTTTCTTACTAATAAGTAGAAATAAATTTAAAATTATCATAAATTAATATGGAAAATACAACAGGTGAGGAAACAACTGTAAACTTTTAGTTTGTGAATGACTTAAAATGAAAATACAAAAACTTCACTAAATATTTGTGTACTATTAATATGTTACATAGAATTTATCAAAATTGGCTGACTTGCTATATCTTTTTATTTGTTTAATATACACTGGTGTGCAAAACTTAAGCAATGATATAATTTTTAAGCACACAGCTATGAAATTGTAGGACTTGTTGCGATCGGTACAATGAACACCCAATTTGATAGAAAGATGATTCATGTGCAAATATCAGGAATAAGATCATGGGTGATGTGAGTGAATGCAAAACATTGCAGTTGGTGTGTGCAGTGCAAGACTACAATAAAAAGAATGATGAAAGGCACTATTAAAGACATTTGCTACAAGTTTAAATGAGTTTATACAAGCAATATGGCTAGAAGAAACCATCTAGGTGATTTTAAACTTAGTAGAATGGTTCCCAGTTCCCAGATTTTGCACACCACCAGTGTGTATATATACAGTAGAGCGTCGATTTTCCGAATCAATTGGGGACTGGGGTTGTTCGTATAACTGATATTTCGGATAACCGATTTATGTACGAAAAAATAGTTTAACGTATCCGATGTTAAAATTTTTATCCGTTGCGTGTCGCTTCACGTTGAATTTTCGTCAATGTTAAGCTTAACGAAGACTATTGTATCATTAAAAATTATTTTTTTATTTTGTACGAACGAAATAAATATATTGAAAAATATAAAAACAATAAAAATTTATACTTCAGATGTTAATTTAGTATCAAAAACGTAAAATATTTGAGTAGCCCAAGACATAGCCAAAGATTGAAGTGCCACAGCACTGGCGAAAATTTAAATTTGCCGACTGGAATTCTTTCGGATGATTGACTTTCGGAAAATCGACGCTCTACTGTATATTATTTTATTTACAAAATTTAATGGCACCAGTAGTCGACTATTTAAAGCTGTTTTGGATTTTGATATTTTTCATTACAATGTGTGTAGTAAAATGAAAAGCAAAATTCATGTATGAAAATAAAGTTTATTCTATACTTGTTATGGTGGGAAAACATTTATTAGATCTTTGTTTATATTATGAAAAAAATTATTTAATCGTGCAACCCAATGTTCATTCAGTAGTTGACCAGCAGGTTGCACGATTGTGTATGGTAGTTGGCAATGGGGTTTTCCTTTGTTGAGAGCTTTTGATGTGACAACTGTGAAAGGGTAAGTAACTTAATAATAGGCATTTTGTAGAAAATACACACCTGAAATGTGGAGCCCTCATTATCTTCTGAAGACTTGACAAAGCCTCACTATGTGATTGACTTTCTATCAGAAGGGATTGTGTAATAATTTTTCCCATCACCATAAGACCATATTATTATGTATCATTGAGAATGGGGTTGTCTTACATTGCTTTCCGTGAAAATGACTTGTCTAAACCTATGCATAATTAGTGCTCTGACAGACTAATTTCGCACAGATTTCGGCTTGTGTTCCACTACAATCAGTTGACAGTAGGCACTCTCACCTTATATAGAACTTTATTTTAATCACAAGATTTTGATTTATGTTTACTGAAGCAAGTGTTTTGTTCTATGAAGTCTTTACTCCTTACTGATTAATATTTGATTCCAGTTTATAAAATGACAATGTGTTATTAAAAAAAGCTTAAATATTATAGAAAAATTAAAATAGTTAAATTTCAATAGAAAACAACAAAAAGCAATTAAAAATAAAATAATCAATTGAAACTAAAAATTTGCAAGAACTACAATGACAACAGTATGCTATGAATAGCATATGCGGAAATAATCTTGTTAATTAGTTTACCAATGAATAGTATAAAGTTTGTAATGAAACATGCAATTTTGTACTCAAATCCATTAGCTATCAGTTTTATTTTTCTCGCCTGCAGCTGGTTTGATCCACACAAATATCCTTTTCAGTTTGGTTTGAATTCATTTTCTTTATCTTTCTATCCAAAGGACAATTTTCTCAGTATCCTTGTCCACAGTGTAATTGTAGTCGTTGCAAAATATGAACTTTGATAGCTAAATACTTAATATTTAGCTATCAATTGTCTATTATTAACTATTATCAAACGTTAATATATTTAAAAGTATATTGAACATGATTTTTTTTTAACTCATCCTATTGGCAATGGGCAAGCCCACGCCCACAAAGGGACTATTGGGTGGTTAGAAATTGGTTAACTTATCTGGGAAGACCACCCAAAGAATTCTTCAGGTTTTTTGATCCTGGGCTCCCCAGAATGAAGATTGTTACTTTAACCATTCAGCCATCCAGATGTCTAACTGAACACATTAATACTGTTAAGAAAACATTCCGGTTGTTGTTAAAATCAGCGCTTCAGCGTCACTGCTTCAGCACTGCTGTATGACGTAAAACACGTGGTTTAACAACAGGACTGCTGCAGCAGTAAAGATGGCGGCCATTTGGAGTGCAGTTTATACATTTTGTGAACTTTTTAATTCTAAAATTAATTCTCGATCATCATCAACGCTGTTATTCTCGTCTTTTATCAATAAAAGGCCAAGAGAAGTGGAAGAGGAGGAAATTCTTATAGGAATAAATGAATCTCCAACAAAAAAGATAAAAATCATGGATTATGTCGAAGAAACCATTCCACGGTACAATGATATTGATTTTGAAGCACATTTTCGTCTCAAACGAGAAACCGTAGACTTTATTTTATGAAATATATTTCTACACAAGAAGTCAAACACTGGTAGTCCATCTTTATATGGAAGTCGGCTAGATAATTTTCATTGTAGACAGCTTTATGCTTTTCTGAGGTCTGTCTTATCAGGTAAATTACTGTACACAGTGTATTCATTAATTTTCATTTTCATATAGTAAAGGCTCTATGCCTTCATAAAAGACGTACTTTTCCTTTGTTTAAGGGTATTTGGGCAGTTTATTCTCTGTTGTATTCTAAGTAAACAATACATACAAGTACAGTACAGTATTTGCTGAGGAAACACGCATACTTATCCTTTTTTAACGCCATTCCCGATAATCCGGTATTTTCACAAACTCGGCCACCCTTCGGTCCACATTAGGCAGAGTTTTGGAGGCTACTGTATTAATTATTTTTTGTGTCTGTGTAAATACAAGAAAAGCCCTAATACCATTCTCTATAATGAACTGACTCAATTAACAAACTTTCCTTCATGTCTCAATTGCTTTCTCTCTGTATGCATTTTTCATTCTCTAATGCAGGGCTTCTTAAACTATGAGTTGCGACCCCATTTGGAGTCGCTTAGCGAAATCTTGGGGTCGCGAGAATTTAATGCAAAATATTGGAAATAATTTGTGAGAGTTTGAAAATGGTATGCTTTGTGTCATAGGTTTCATGAGTTGCGCTTTGTGTCACTTCTGGTGCAATGAGACGATTCAGCAACACTGATTGTAGTGTGAACTAGCATAGTGTTGTCGCTTTTCAGTAGTGATGTTCTGGATCGTTAAAAATATATATCTGCAGATACAGATACATATCATTAGTAGTAGATCTGCGGATACGGATATGGATCTCAACTTTCGTATTCAGTCGGTGCCAGTGCGTGTGACCTTGGACCGATAGTTGACACTTTGTGTTAGTAATGCGACGTGTTTTGACTTGCACTGCACGTTTTTGTTTATAGTGTAAAAGTGTGCAAAATTAGAATTCACCACAATGGCAGACAGGATAAAGTAACAAAAATTTTTGAATATAATTTTCCAATTAAACTATTTTTTGTGTCTTTATACAGATTCTATTTCGGGGGATTCCAACTTTACGGTAGAAACAGTAGCATGTGAAATTACAGCGATAATAATAGATTGCTGTATCCAAAGCACATGTACAATACAGATCCCAATCACGACAATATATATAACCCGAAACCTTAAAACTAACCTTAAACACAAACTTAACACTAATAATAGAAAAAGGGATAGAATTAAGAAGACAGAATAAATGGTAGATAAGATAGAAATAGGGATATCCGGGGTTTTGTCCCTTTTTTCGGCTTGTTTCTTTATGCATACTGTCGGGTGGGATAATACACGTCCTTCTCTTATAACTGGCCAATTCTCTTCTTTAATAATTATTTTTCCTTCCACTGTCGTCAATACGACCTTAAAATAGGATCTGAGGAATCTGAAAACCGAATATCATACACTAATGCTAATTTACTCACAGAATATGCCAAAGAAAAAAGATTATCAAGAGACCAAGATCCATTAAAGCAGTGGTCCCCAACCTTTTTATCGCCGTAGACCAGTCAACATTTGATAACTTTACCGTGGCCCACTGAGGGGGGACGTTGATTGTTCATATTTTAGATTGATTTAATTTAATAATTTTAATTTAACTGTATTTAAACATGCTTTCAAAATAAAATACAATTACACCAAAAAATGAATATAATGTGATTTAACATTTTAACTCACTAGAACGCTAAATCAATGAGAACCCTGAGCTTGTTTCTTTGCAACGAGGCAGTTCCATCTGGGGGTAATAGAAGACAATGACACTCGAAGTGTGTTTCTTATGTCCAGTTTATTCCGTTGTTCCGTCGTCTATTAAAAGCCGCACAAACCCGAGACAAATACACCATAGTAAATAAAATGGAAATAATTTAATGTTCCTTGGGCAGCCTGGGGTTGGGGACCACTGCATTAAAGTATTGGGAGATTAATAGTAAAAATTTTGGAGGTCTTAGTCACATGGCTCGCACATATTTATCGTCACTTGCAACAAGTGTTCCAAGTGAGCAGTTTTTTAGTGCAGCAGGAATTATTTATGATCCTCATCATAATAGACTTTTCAGGGATAAAGCTGCCAAGTTACTCTTTTTGAAGTACAATTTACTATTAATTAATTTTGATTATGACATTTAATTTTTTGAAGTTTCTAAAAATGTGATTATTTTATCTGATAATTTGATAATTATTAAAACCTCGGTATACGTCTTTAGNATAACTTATATTTTATAAGAAATAAAAGTTTAAAAAATTAATAATTTACTATTTAATAATTGTAAGTGAGCGTTTCATCTGAATTCAGTTTCATAAATATGTAAGGTATTAAAAAATTGCCTTTTCAAAATGCCGGTCGTACATCTTATACATATTCCATACAGTTCTCGTAATCACTGCAAAATTAGCCTTAAATCAATTTGTATATTAAATTTTTATTACATTTAGTTGCCATTCAAATTTAATATCTTATTAAAATAATAAAAATGGAAAAAGCTTTAAAACTTCATTATATTTTAATACTATTTTCATAAAATTACTATGAAAACATTATGTATATCTTAGACATAAAAATTAAAATACTGTACAGTACATTAATAGAATCATGTCAATTTTAGATAATTCTTCAAATTTTTAACAATTTATAAAACAGTCGATAAATTGGTTCCATCATTTAGTAAACACACGTTATATCAACAAACATTCATAAAAGCTTCAAAATATTCTTCTGTTTACCATTTGGATTCCGCTGTCATCAATCAACAGTTCTCATACTAGCTGTGTAATTTTCTCGCTGCAAGTTTTTGTCTGTCCAAATTAATAGTACGGTGGAAAAAGGCATTCGATAGATAGACGACGGGAGAAAACAACCTAAGTCTATATTCACACGTTCCAGTCATGGGAACGGCTTCATTTCCGCTAATGATAAAGAGCGGGAAAAATATGGCAAAGATGATCCCGCTGGTAATGAAAGAGGAGGACAACGACGTCAGGACGGCGAGTGGCAGGCCAAAACCTATAAAGTAAGGCCAATTCATCTCAATAAATGCCAACCTCCTATGCAGTTCCCATCCCATGTTGATCCACTTATACTCGAAGGCATAAAATGAATACAACATACACAGATGCACTATTCCGGCTACCTGGCCCAGAATGTATACCGGTAATAGTCTCACCAGATAGCTCTGCATCAGAAATAAAACCTGAATCAAGAAACTGAACAGATTGTCAGCCCACGTCTTGCTAAATCCTCCCACGTACTGGGGGCGGCCGCGAATGTGCCTGTAAGCAGTGTTGGCAATGTCTTGGAACCACAGGCTATTGATGATGCGACTCAGCAGGAATAGAGGTAGCACCCAAAGTGCATCAAACACACAAGACAGAATTGGTCTCAACCAACTCCACACAAAAGCAGCCATACTGGGGCTGTGACTAAACACAAAATTCATAAGTTTATGAAGACCAGGTAATACTAAGTAAGAGAAAATTGCGATACTTGCCCAAAATATCCCACCATTGAGCAAACAACACTGGAATATTCTTATAGAAATTTTTGTCTCTTCACTTTTGATTTCAGGGATTCGATTCGATTCTTGTTTTCTCCTCCTTGACAATGTTGTTGTTACTAATTGGTTAACGGGCTTTGTTTCTTTCTCTTTATTCATGTCTCGAATCGATAATATACCCCATATAGAGTCTTTGGCTCCCGTTACAATCCCCATAAACACTCTCATTAAATTATCCATTCTCTATGACTTATGAGGGCATCCCTTACTTCTTAGCACAACCTCTTCCTCCGAGTCTTTTCTCTCGAACAAAACGCCACCTATAATTCCAATTATTTAAACCGAATCATTTTCACGCCCTCTATATTGTTCATAAAATTATTATCTATCGATAAAACACCAGTTAAATACTCGTTAACTTTTAATTCGAATTTTTTAATTTACTGTATAAATAATTTAATTCTACAAATCGTAAATAAATCGGAGAAAACGTCCTCGAAACAAAGAACTTATGACGTAATACTGAAAATTTTTCGTCATAACGACGGTTAAAAGTTTTTTTTAGTATTTAATGTTAATTAACTGAAACAGACTAAAAATATACTATTTTAATAATTTAGTTGATAATTTAAATTTATTATACATCAAAGAGTTAAAAAATAAAATAATTTCATTTTCTAGCCAGCATATTACGTCACACATTTAAATTTTTAACGGTTATTATGCTTTACGTGGTATAAATATTAATTAAGTTTTCTTAAAGAAAAAATGTTTGTATTTATTAATTAATCATTGCTATAATTAACTTTTGTAACAAATTTTGAAATGTGTTCATTATTATTGTGTTTAACACAATAATAATGAAATAACTTTATAATTTCGTAAGAGGAAATGGTTCTTTTAAGTGGGGAAAAAATAATTTTTTGTCCTCATTATTAAAATTATATATGATTTAATAGAATTGTATCTTTCTTTTACTTTTATTGATATTTTATGGATATTTCTCATACGTTAAACCATTTGCTGAATAATTTTGGCAACAATAGGTTATAGAGATGGCACTTAAGGCGGCGGCATATTTCTTTGCGGGACTCGGAACCGAATTCTGGCAAATCTCAGAGCTTTTTATGAGTTCGTGGATATTGTACGGGTTTGATATAAAGGTCGCCTTAGTACCCATAGGACAGAAAGAGTTAAAATTAAAAGTGCACGTGATAGCTATTTTCAGGTCTCTTAACTTTTCATTATAGTAATTACCAAAAGCGAACTGTAGTATATTGTTATAGCTGGACTTTCAGGAAAGGAAGGAAAATTATATTGGTTTCATGTTCGGTCTATTGTCCATTGAATTTACACTGTACCGGTACATTGTATGAGAAAATTCATCCAACACGAAAGCTTGGAAAGTCGATTATTTATATCGGTAGTGAGTAGAAGTTGAAAGAATGAGATCGATCTAACCGGTACCTTGCTGATCTGAAGATTCACAGGCAGTCTCATTTTCTTTAAATAAGAATCCCGAAGGGAAAATCAATTCAATTGAAGTTCTGGTAGCACTCGTCAAAAATCTAGGCAGTCATTGTCAGGATTCTATTTCTGATCTCCCTGAATAGTAAACCGAAGCTAAGACGCAGTTCTCTGAATCTGTGATCGAAATGTTTTGTAATCGGAAGTCTCAGTTCGGTTCTATGTATATTGCATGGTCACTCTATACGAGTCTTTAGAAAAGAGAAGCAGTGGCGCATTATAGCTTCATGGGCCGAAGCGAATTTAAATTAGCAAGCCCCATGTATAATGTTCACTTCAGACATTTTACTTCGAAGAAAGTTTTGGGGAAATGATTGGTTTTGTGCCTCCTGCTGGTGGGAATCTCAGACAATTGCATTTTTTCCCATAGAATAACGCGATACTGAAGCGATTTATTGTGAGTTCAATGTTTGAACTGATTCTATATTTAAACCTCACCATGGAAGGAAATGAGATAAATAGATACAATCTTGAATACTGTAATTAGGGCTGTGCCGAACAGTTTTGGTGCCCAAATTAAACCTCATAACTGACGCTTCTGATTCACCATTAATTACAAAAACTTCTACGGGCTTATTTGGTGCTTCCGTGGCTCCCGGGGTACATGCTTACCTTTGCTACCCTCTGTTACGCTACTGACTGCAATTATGATATGCATCGAAGCTGGCGATATGATAAGAAAATTATAAAATTTAGATTTATAAAATTGTGAAAAGTATATTAATTAATCATTTCCAAAATAAAATCTAAAAAAATTTCAGTGTATTTTTTCTATTCTAGATTCTCTGGCTTATGGCACTTAAGAAAGCCTTTTTAATCATACTTCGTCGCCCTGGCCGAACCATCATTACCCGCCTTCTTGTAGTTGGTAGAATCCATTACGAACCTTTTTAAAAAATATTTTCGTTCTGTGTACTGTACACTAAGAGAAATGTTTTTAACAAACCCATTATGAGTTCAGCCAAGCCCACGATGGAGAAGCCGGATGGTGAGGAACGGGGCTTAACATATCCTGACAGACCATTCCCCGAAAAATTCCTGATGTTTTTCGACATGTCTGGATTTAAAGCCGGGTCCTCAAGCGTAGGCCGCCGTCTAAAACATACTGCCATTTGGTCGTTTTCCGTAATGGAGTAAAAACAATAAAAATAAAAAAGTTGAATTCTAATGTTCATGTATAAATTGAAAAATGTGAACAAAATTATAAAAAATATAATAATTAATAAATTTAATACCAAATTTTTACATTAATAAAATTATTGAATAGAACTAAAAAATAGATAAAATTTGACACTAGAGGTGTACGTGTCGTCTTTTTCAGTTTATTAGAAGCAGCCATTTTGCGGTGATTTGGAAAAGGTAATTTCTTATAATATTTCTTATAAATAATGGAATTATCCGTGTTAAAAAAATTAAAAAATTTAGAAAATTAATTATTTAGAAAATTAAATATTATTTGATACAATAATAATAAATTAGATTATGAATTTGTAATGCCTTTTACTAGATGAAACTTTTAGGCCTAAATGTATATCCACGTGTTATTTTGTCGCGTGTGGAAATTAGTGTATGATAATCGAATGAGGAAATATCTAATTGATGCCGTATTGTAATGTTCGAAGTGCTAAGAAATACACTTAATTTTAATAAATTCATTAGCAAAATTATTTTTAATACAAATTCTTTTCCCACAGAAGTGAATATACCCATTGTTAGTGTTTCTTACTAATAAGTAGAAATAAATTTAAAATTATCATAAATTAATATGGAAAATACAACAGGTGAGGAAACAACTGTAAACTTTTAGTTTGTGAATGACTTAAAATGAAAATACAAAAACTTCACTAAATATTTGTGTACTATTAATATGTTACATAGAATTTATCAAAATTGGCTGACTTGCTATATCTTTTTATTTGTTTAATATACACTGGTGTGCAAAACTTAAGCAATGATATAATTTTTAAGCACACAGCTATGAAATTGTAGGACTTGTTGCGATCGGTACAATGAACACCCAATTTGATAGAAAGATGATTCATGTGCAAATATCAGGAATAAGATCATGGGTGATGTGAGTGAATGCAAAACATTGCAGTTGGTGTGTGCAGTGCAAGACTACAATAAAAAGAATGATGAAAGGCACTATTAAAGACATTTGCTACAAGTTTAAATGAGTTTATACAAGCAATATGGCTAGAAGAAACCATCTAGGTCAGGGGTGGCCAACCTTTTGCATACCATGCGCCAATTTTTTGATAGACGAGTTCAGATGCGCAGTGGTGTACCGTGGGTGTTAGCCGCCCGGGGCGGAGAAAAATTTCAGCCACCCTTTAATCAGGTATTTCAATTTAAAAGATCAAAATTCAGTTGTGTGAAAAAAAAATCAATAAAAAATGCGGTGGTGGTGTAGTTACCTGTACAAAATAGTCCCATTTGACATTAGTGGCATACACGATTGCGAATGTATCGGGAATCGTAGAAGCAAAAAAAAAAAAAAAAAA